CGTAGCCAGAATTGTTGCGAAACACAAGACCCTCATACCCCTTCGCCTTTAGGAGTAGAATATGGAATGAGAGATCGGTTTGAATACGGGGAAAGAGTGGATTTACGCCTGCGGTTTCTCCTAATTTGTGGAACGCGAATGAACATCTCAAGTGTTCAAAGGGCATAAATGTTGCTGGCAGTATCTGGCAGTATCTGGCATTGGAGATTGGAGGTCAGAGGTGAGTATGGTTTGTTCCTCTATACATCATCGCAATAATGAACCGGTCACGGCACCAATTTGGGGCAAGAAAGGAAAGGAAACCAGTAGGATGCTCATGAAGCTTTCAGGCAGGACGTTCGAAGAACAAGATGCAGTCAATGCAGTCTTTCGCTTCGCTCTCTTGCTGAAGAGGAAGAACTTGCCCATATTTTCTAATGCTTTCTAATTCCTTGTTTTTCGTCGTCAAAATTATGTGCTTGCGGGCTCGTCCATCCTTATTGTTGCTGTCAAAATCTTGCAGCCTCGTGGTGTCGAGTATCCGTCGCTACTGTAGGCTTCGCAGCGGCATTTCGACATGACTGACGTGATGGCAGCCACCCCATGCCGTACTGGCGGCAGCGCGATACACAGCTTGCAGTTCGTCCCTGGTCAATTTCGAAACAATTCGTTTGGGATGCACTTTTGATCTATGCAAACCGTCGATCTCAATGATGTACTTAAAATTGTTGAGGATTGAAGCAATCAAGCAGTCGGTTCTATGTATTAGCGCATTGATAATGGCGTTACCTACAGTAGTACAACAAGATCTGTTGTACTACTACTATATTTTTTCATCCAACTAATTTCTTAGTTTGTAACTTCGGGTGTCTCACTAGAAGGTTGTTGTTCCAACATCTTAAAGGGGGAAAGGATCAAAACAAAGATTGGCTTGATAATTTCTTCCGCCTTTCCAGCAGCCCCCAACATGACTTCCGTGACCTTTTCAATGGCGGGATTCAAAATACCAGAATCAAAGTTCTTGAGTTGAGGCTTGATGTTAGAGTCCAAGGCTTCCATGTTGGTTCCAGCAACTTCGAGTGCCTTCCCAGCGACAGCTTCTGCCATTCCCATAAAGGGAGAAACGACAGCTACACCCTTTCCCCAGGCCCAGACTCCCTTTGCTCCTTCGTAAACATTAGCTGCAGCATCCGGATGCGATTCAGTGGTAGTGGTGGTAAGAGGTTCTTTTGGTGGCATCGTCGTTTTGTTACTCTTTTTCTTGGCCATATCTTCGTCTTCATCATCCATTTCGGGTATTGGAAATCGTTCGCGTGGCAAATCCATAAAGAGGTCATCAACAGTTCCAGCAGCAGTCATGAAATCGTCAGTGGCGGTGGTATTCAAAGAAACAGAAGACGAGGCAGACTGGTTTTTACGCAATTGTTTGGACAGATCATCGGGAGAAAAGGAAGTCGTCAATCCTGCCAAAAAGAGAGATTCCGCTCCCGATGCCGGAGACAACGGAGGATGATAATCTTCTGGGCCATCGACCGATTGGTCAATGCTGTCATAGGATGTCTGTACTTCCAACTTCATCTTTTCGCAAAACAACAAACCCACGATACAATACAATTCAAGTGGATGGATCTGCGGAAATGAAAGTATTGCGGTGAGACAAAGAGTCAGTCGTTTGTGATGATGATTCAAAAAAAAAAGATGCTTGGCGAACGCGGGCAGGAGAAGATTTCGGGTTTTCGACCAATGACATTTGAAAAACATTCTGACCTGTTCGAATGAATCAACTATTCTGGCCAACAAGAAGAATGACGAAACCAAACGCCCGTCTTGACCAGAAAGAGACCGCGACATGGCCACGAGGATGAATCCGATTTCCCACGACAGTTGCTCAAGTTGAATAATATCTTATTGACAGCGTGATGTGGGCATCACGCTTGAAACCGTGACAAACACAAGTCTCTTGACCATTTCTTATTGTGGATTTCGAAGGAATCTCATTGTTCAATCGATTGTCATGTTCGATTTCTCTGGGCTTGCTATTCTTGGACCCATCCCCGTTGCATCCGACATCATCTTCCCACCAATCTACTGATGTACATGTAAAAAGAAATGGCTTACCTAGCTCACCTGAATAAAGTGTGCGGGTATTGATTGCACTCTCACAATTTTTCTGGTATGTGCAGGTTGGAACGCTTTTTTTGGCAGTGGTGTGATGGCGACTTTCAATTCCAAATGCGACGTCATCCTATTTGGTGCAAACACGACTGACTGACTGACTGACTGACTGACTGACTGACTGACTGACTGACTGACTGACTGATTGACTCACTCACGCACTCAATTTTCATGGTCGACCAATCACAATTTGACCCTGGGATTATAAGTTTATCCTCTATTAGTTAGTAGTACCAATGGTAGTGTTGCTGAAGGGATTGTACAAAGGCATGGAAGGTATCAGGATGCATCTGCATCCTGACTTTTTCTTGAACTCTGAGGCCAAATCTGACCTCCTGTATTGCTTCCACCGATGGACACAAATCTATTTGGTCTGATAGTCTCTATACGAGCATAAGAGATCATAATCACCTATCTTGTTGCCATGATAGTCGTTCTTCAATAAGACCCACACAAAAATGGCATGAACTTTTATTTTGTTGCTCCCAAACAAGCCGCCTCTGTTCGAGTTGGCATGCTCCTCTAGCCTAGTGTGAAAGTCCCCACAGCCCGTCTATATCACCAATAGGACACTTTTGAGCTAGCCACAGGCTTGTAGCTCACCAATCCCCATTGCCGTCCTCTAATACGACCAAACGAAATGGCACAAAAGTCACTTTTTAGCATCCAAGTGCTACCAATAGCCTATTCTTGTGCCACTGATCGAACCTAGGTACATACCAAGCAATTGACCTTATACAGTGGGCCCAAAGGGTCATAGGAAGACGTCTGATTGGTTGTTATGATGAAAATGGTCCTATATTAAAAATGGGCTAAGGTCGAAAGTTGGTTTTTTCACAAGACTCGTCTTTCCGTGACTGGCGGATGTTCTGTTAAAAAGTGCTATCTATTTCGTGAGATGAACTTTTGTGTAATTAACGGTCCGTCCGCCACTCAGCCCTACAAAAAAGTGGGGAGGCCAGAACTTGAAACTGTACCTTACTCGGTATCAGTAAAATAAAAATTTAACCTATATAAAACTTCTAGCTTAGATCCTTAGCTTTAATCCTGTCCAGGCTGCATTAAAAACGAACACTTTGCTCGTGAGTTATAGCCTTCTAAGCTCTGGGGTGCTTTGGGGCGCTAAACGGCAATCTTGGTAACCAGCAGGAGCCGAGAACTCATCAAGGAATGCTCCAATAAAGTTACAAACCAAGCTATTGGTTATTCATAACTCGTATGAGACCGTGGTATACTCACATGACCCCCAGAACGCTCGATAGTATCTCGCCAGAGGCTGGTTGTTGGCTATTATTTGCATTTCATTTCGTAAATCCATTGTTTCACACTTTCTTCCGTGCAGCCAATCCAAACACCAGACATGGAACCTGGTCTCTCCAAAACAAAAATATTGGGTGCCTGTGAGATCGCCTGTCTCTTGGGGGCACCATAGTCATAGATTAATAAGAGCATCACCAACCGATGATAGCACCGCTGCAGGACCACCGCATTCAACCTAGTAGAGCAGCTTGACAATTCATTCCACTTCATATATTGATTCAACGACAATGTCTCTTCAATCCAACAGTGATGGATTGGCATTGTACAATTTTTTAAAGTAGAGAATGATCTAATATTTTATCCAAGAAAAGGCCAGTCTTGCGGTCTTGCCAAGAGCCGGCCCAATCCGCATCGACATAACACTCCAACCCTTTTGTAGAATCTGGCTTAAATCGAAGTCCTTGATGTTGCGTCAAGTGCAAGTACCTGCAGATTCTTTTGGATCATTGCAAAATCGAGCACACTGTTGTACTGCCATCGTGAGATCTGGGCAAATCATAGCTTGTAGATAACTAAGGCTGCCTACTACTGATCTGTAGTTCCAGGGATAATCATGTGCCTTGCCGTCTGGGTCCTTGTCTAATATGTTTGCACTGGAAGCTGGGCTGTCATGAGTTTTGACTTGGTCAGCAGTGAGCCTGACCATTTCTAATATTTGTTGAATCATGCGAGGTTGCTCAAGAAGGATTGATCCGTCAGGTAGTTTTGTGAAACGAGTACCAAGATAGTCTTGTAGTTCCCCATCGTCAGTCAAGTTGTATTGTTCTTGTAGGGATTTGATTTCTTTGTTGATCAAAGCTTTGTTTGGAGACATGAGGCAGGCATCATCAACGTAAAGTACCAATATAATGTCCTGTTTTGTGTATAAGCAAGAATCAATGCTTGATTGTTGCCATCCTCGGTCAATCAATCCCTTGTGGAGAAATTGACCCCATGTTCGTCCCGCGTCTTTGAGTCCATATAAATTCTGCAATAACTTGTACACACTGGTGAATCGGTCGCCTGGCCGAGGCATATCAGGAATCACCAACTTTGGGGGAACTCTTGGTGGTTGCATGAAGATGTTGGTCTTGATAGGAGCTTGCGGATTCCATATGCCAGTCGTTGATGAGGGCAAAGATGACCATGAGACGTACAGTGCTCCATGACACCACGGGCGCATATGTATCCCAGTAATCAACATTCTCAATGGATTGATGGCCGCCAGCGCACAATCTAGCTTTCCACTTGATTATCTCCCCAAGATTGCCCAAACCATGGGAATTGCTCTTTTGCCACTGTATGTTGGAATACTCTTGATGGGTACAACCTTCCAATGCTTTCTTCCAATGTGATCGCCAAGTTCTTTGTACATGGCCTTGATGAATTTGGCTCGATCATGAGCCTTCATTGCTTTGTCAAATGTCAAAGTATCTGGATCAGCCGATCTAGCAAGTGCAAAGATTGATGCAAATGGATGTGGCTCCTCTGAGTGATAAGCTTGTAGTAGTTCATGTCCTTGGAGCTCTTCGTTGTCGAGAGCTGGTGAAAAAGTCTCCAGATATGCAGAGTTGGCGGTTGCCACTTGGTCGTTGAATATTCTTGGATTTGGTCTGGAATGTCGTCCCCATCTGGTTCTGCGTATTTCGGGTTCCTGAATTGATGCATGCTCAGATTCTTGGTTCTCTTCCGGAGGAGAGGTAATTTTCGTGGGATCTTCAGTAGTGTGGAAGTCGTCGGTCAGTTCTCCAATGGTAGGTTCGTTGTCCCATTATGTGATGAATTGGGGTACAGCCGGCAGCGGAACCTCAGGTTGACTCTGATTCTTAGCGAATAGATGGAAGGTCAATGACTTCCTTTGTCTTGTCTCTGTGTAATTGAGCTTTGCGTTGCCAAGATGAAGTAAATGAACATCCCTCTTACAAGTGTCAAAAGCATCGTCGTAGATGCAATGGAACTGAGGGGACACGTTGCCTGTTCTCATGTTCAGCACTAACGGGACACTGGATGCATGATTGGGGGAGTGGCAAAGGAATATGCCTACTTGGCTTCAATCCGCCCATTTGTTGTGCGAGTGTTGGGCTTGTAAGCTGTCTTCAAGCACGTACACCGGAGATCCGAAAGGGTGAAAATGATCAAGATTTGGTTCCACTTCAACTTGGGCCATCTTCGAGATAGGAGATTCTTTGTATTTGGCATGTTGCTTGATGCGTCCTCTTACTTTGATTTCGGGCGTGTATTTGGTGGGAAGCGAATTCTTCAAATTTGTGTAGTTCTTGAGAGCGGCTGGCCACAGAGCCGCATGAATGGCATCCGGCCATCAATGAGCAGCATGAATTGATGCAGTTCTTGCCCCTTCTGTCACTTCTTTAATCTTTCTCTCGGCTTTCCCATTCTGGCTGATGGTGTGCATTGACACCACAGAACGTCAAACCTTGACCGGCCTTAGTAATTGAATTGCGAAAGGCCTTGGTGTCAAATAATCCGTTATCAGCATGGTAATGTCGGATGGACACTCCATGAGTAGCACACTCTCGTTCAAACGCAAGTTTTGCAAGGACAGTTTCCTCCGCATTCATCGCCGTCATCAAGTGTACATATGTGAAGTCGGTGAAGTGGTCAACAAATACCGTGGCTCCAACGTATCTGCAAGCGTTGGGTTGCCTCGATGAGTTGGAACAAAACCTGGGGTTGGGCTGATCAACTGATTGACACTGACAACTTGTCCTGAATGAGTGGCAGGTTTGATTTTGCCCTGCTTCTTACTGTTTCTCCAAGGCTTTCGATGCGCTTTTCCGTCTGCACAACCAGGACACTTAGGTGGATCAACATTTGCCAGCTCTCTGGGAATCATTCCGGCTCGAGCCATCATCTGTAACTTTGGATATGGGAGATGTCCGTATCGTTCATGGAGGATGAACAGTCATGGCAATATCAGGATCAAAGGTTTTCGCTCCTTCTGCGATGTTGGGGTCCTCAAAGGTGACTTGTCGAGGCTGTATGTCTGGCTGCTTTGTTGAGGCTCCCTTGATTGCCAATGAGTTTCCTTCAGTGGAGGCTCCCTCGTTTGCCGATGAGTCTCCTTCAGCTACCAAACTTGGACTTGGCGGAGCTCCCTCAGATGCCGTCATTGGAGCTCCCTCAGAATCTGAATTGATAGAAACAATTGTGGCTTTGGACTTGAAGTGAGTCGTTCCTGAGTACGCATGCCAGTTGTGATCACATCCACATTTGGTAGAAGGATTGCATTCATCAGTACTGGCACTCATGCAAAAATTCTTGTAACCAGGCTCTGATCGAAATACAAACAAGTCTCTGCCGTCGATCTTCACATTGATTTCATGTTGTTCCTTTTGGCTTGGTGCTGTGAATGCAAACTTGTACTCGGTGTTGTTGTGGCGGGGCCATTCTGGTTCCCAACCAGCAGATTTCATTGCCTTGTATACCAGTTGAGGTGGCATGATATTGAATGGAGACGTCAGTACAACCACGGCATCTACTTCAATTTGATCGGTGGTGCCGGGTATTGGCAGTGACAATTTTCCAATTCCAGTAATGTTTGTTGGAGATCCATTGATTCCTTTGATTCCTCCTTTGAACGGCCGTAAGTTGGTAAGCATGGTAGAGTGTCTTACAATGAATCTGTTGGCCCCAGAGTCAAAAAGCCATTCCAAACTGTCGGTGTCAGCAATGAAGCAGAATGGCTGGTTCCAAATGTGTTCTGGTTGGAAAGACGACAAGTTGGAATCAGTAGGCAATGCACTGAAGCTTGCCAAATTCAATTGAGTTATGTTTTCGATTGATGTCCGAATGAGTTGTTCTTGTCGGAAGTTGTCAAGGGAAGTTCCCGGAACCAATGCATGTGATGTGCCAGGCAAGGCGTAGACTTGTGAACGGTCAAGTAGACCAAAAAGAGTGAAAAACCAAAGGATTTTTGTCCATGAATACGATGATCGCTTGACAGTGTGTTTCAAAGTAAATGGAGCTTGCTTGATGTGCTTTTGAGCATATGGGCAGCACCACTGGATGGGAATACGGACATTGGACA